GGATTATTAGTGCTACCTTATCAAAGAGGGTTATGGTTGCTTAATTCATGAGAGCCTCGACCCTTCACCATACGCCCCTCCTGAACCGACCACCACCCAAGCAACCACCCACAAGCACCCCTAACCCCATCACTGCCATATACCCACCATACTAACACCTAAAAACCCACATCAATCGCAAAACAAAAAAATCCCACAACACCAAAAATCACAACAGAGGAAGCCGTCAACGCCAGGCGAGACAGCGAGGCCAGCGATGGCGTGAACAGCGGCGCTGCATCAGATTAAAAAAGGGCTTGTTTTGTCAAAACAAAAAAACAAGAAAAGAGATGAACGGCGGGAAGGGCTCATTTTGGGACGAGCCCAACGGTTGAAAACGAGGAAAGAATGGAGTAGAACAACATATTTTGGTTTAGGACAGATGGGACGGTGGAAGGAAGAGTTACGATGGTTTGACCATTTGGGCTTCAATCTCAGATCTACCGGTTGAGGAGTGTTTTTGTGGAGGTCCGAGCAAGAATCTGTAATGGAGGCGTTGAGGATAAGCTACGACGAAATTTTGGGAGTCAAATGACGCCGGCCGGAGTGGGCGGCGGGGTAAGGCGGCGGCTTGGGCATCGTCACCGGAGACTGGTTTTGAAATTGAATGAGAGAACAGAGTTTTTTTTTATTGGTGAGGAAATGATTTAAAAAAAAAAAGCTTTATAAAGGGTTAAAAAAATTTTTGAAAAGTAAAAAAGTCCTGAAACGAAGAGAAGTTTGGCTTTTGGAAAATTGAAAAAAAAAAAATCTTTGAAAAGCTAAAAAAGGGGTCTTAAAAAAAAAAAAAAGACTTTGAGAAGTCGAAAAAAAAAATATGCGTTGAAAAAAAAAAGCATTAAAAAGTAAAAAAAAAAAAAAAACAAAGAAGAAAGGTGGACTAGGAAAAGTAAAAAAAAGTGGCTTTGAAAAGTTTAGTAAAATATGTTTTTAAGTCAAACGAAATTTGACCAAAAAAAGTTTGCTTGGACTTAAAAAAATAAACAGATCAATCTTATTATCGGTACAACTGATTCAGAGATCTTTTGGACAGTGAATTTCATTTTGGATTAGCTTCACTCGGAGGGTCATTTTATTTTATTTTATTTTTGGTCATTTATTTTGTCATAAATTTGATATTTTTATTCTTGTTAATTTATTTATAAATGCTTGATATTGATATTATGATATTGTTATGAATTGCTTACAAATAAATATTTATTTAAAAAAAAGATAATTTTAATTTAAATTGTTTTAAAAAAATGTTTTAGAAATTAAAATGAAATAATACTTTTTTTTTAATGAAATGAAATACAACTTTGAAAATCTTGTTTAGATGTTGAAGAAAATTCAAAATTATTTTTTTAAAACAATTTTAATTTTATCTTGATGTTAGAGAATAATAATAATAATAAAATTTTCATAAAAAAAGAAATACATAAAAATATTTTTAATTAATTTTTAAAAATTATAAAAATCGAACTTGTTTCGAAAGTTTTTCTATATGTTAAAAATTTTTAGAGATATTTATGTTTTAAAAATTAAAAAATATAAACCTTAAATCTTTAAAATCATAAAATATTTCAAATCTTAAATCCTTAAAACCCTCAAAACCTTAAGATTTTTAAATTCTAAATCTCAAAATCTTAAATCTTCAAAATCTCAAAACCCTTAAAACTTTAAAATCTTCAAAATTCTAAAACTGTCTAAACTCTAAAACCCTTAAAATTTAAACCAAAACCTTAATATTCAAAACTCAAAAATCTTGAAACTCTATTCTTAAAAACTTAAACACAAGATCCTAAATCTTGCAAAATTGACCAAGACCTTAAATTTAACCTAAACTTAAATTTGGCACACAATCCCGAAAAATTGTTTAAACTTTAAAACATTGACCTAAACTTTACTCAAGATCATTCCAAAATCCTAATGATACATCTGAAAATCTCATCTGAAATAATTTATTTTTAAATACTGCCTAAACGAAGGGGTATTTAAGAAACTTTATTTCATTAAATTTTTCATACGAGTTCTTAATTCGCTTTAACAATAAAATTAAAACTAATAAATAAAAATGTCTAATGGGATCTTAAATATAAAACAGTCATACTTAAAGTTTTGCTTAAATGTTGGAGAGTTAAGGTGGTTTTATTATATATAAGAACATAAATTTCAAAATTACATAACATCTATTAATGTATCTATTTATTATTGATTGCACTCAATTCACATGTTTATACTTTTAGTTTATTATTTGTTGTCTAGTAATACCTCATTGGCATTTTTGCATAAAAAATGTGTTTAATTTAAAAATGTGGAATAAAACGAAAATAACATCATGAGGAGAATAATTCTTGATATATTACCTAGATGTTGGAGAGTCATCAATAATTATTTTCTACAAAAAATGTTGTTTTTATTGTCAAGGGATATCGTTGTAAATATTAGTTAAAAGTGTTATCTTTAAAGTTCTGCTTGGATATGAGAAAATTTTAAGATAATTATTTAATTTAAAGATTTTTTTAATATTCATAAATAAATAATTTTGATAAAATAATTTTTTAAATAATAAAAGAGACTTATTATTAAATTTTAAATTGAAACTATTTCATCAAATACCAAAAATAACGCATGATTAATTGATAGTAATTTATAAGCGCTGCGAAGGTGCTAATTCTTTCCTATATGTAACTAACTTCTAGACCCAACTTGATTTTCATAGATCAAAATTTATTTTTTTAATAAATTTTAAATTCGTTTTTATAGTTTTATTAAAAGATAAACTTTTAGGTGACGAATCATATTCTAAAAAAGATTGATAATGATTTTTCCTTATTTTTCTCAATTAAAATTTTTTTTCTAACAATTTCAAAACCATTATGATAATATTATATACATAAAAAATAAATTAAATATTTTAAATATTTTCCAAAACTTCAAAATTTAAAACTACATTAGGTGGGTCATGTGGGTTAAATTTTTTTCACTTTTTTATCTCTATTCATTAATTTTTTGTTGAAAAAAATTACCTAAATTAAGAAAAAGTAAAAGGTCCAAAAAAAATTAAATGAGTGACACGTGATACATAAATTAATCTCTTATTTTTACAAAATATATTTTATAAAAATAATTATTTTATTTTATTTATTTGCGTATGGGATCTACTTAACACTAAGCTTTCAACAAAAAATGGGTAAATTATAAATATAATAAAAAATATATTTTTATATATACATAAGATGGCTTGAGGTAAATTATCATAAATTTATTTTTATTCGTCTTTAATTTTTATAAAAAAATTGAATCAAATTGATTCAACATCAATTTTTTGTAAAAGTATCCATATCGAATCGAGATAAATATGAATTTATCATATATTTATTATTTTATCATTTTATTAATCAACTCATTTTATTGTAAAATTAATTTAATTAAAAAATAAAAAATTTTAAATATGAAAGAAAATATGCAAATTGTGATTCTACATGGGTATCCCTCTTGATATTATTTTCTAACAAAAACGTTGAAAAAAAGTAATAAAAAAAAAACAAAACAAAAAATAACGTCATGTACCTTTAATATTAAGTGGGTCATATAAAAATATTAAAATTTTAAAAAAATATTAATAAAAAAATAAAAAAATAAAAGATTTAATATGTGACATATCATCAATATTAAATAAATTAAATAAAAAAATTTAAAATCTTAAAATATATTGATTTTCTTAAATAATAGAAAAATATTTAAAAAAAAAAAACCAAATGACGAACTTCCAATATTAAATGGTCACACACACAAAATTTAAATTTTAAAAAATATTAATTAAAATTTATGAAAAATAAAAAATAGAAATTTAAATTGTAATCTCAAAAACAATAATGGCCGCCATCACCTCATCAAGTCTTGAAAGTCCAACTTATGGATTACCGTTACCTACCACCATTTTTCTTCGCATTCCTACCTCTTTCATCCCACATAATCACCCTTTGCAATTTGTCAAATGGCTTCAAATCTCATCAGAAAAACTACCCTCTTGCCTACTCTTCTATATAAATCAAGCATTATGTATCCATTTATTTAAAAATTTGAGTTCGAGCCTCTTTTTATTTTTAAAAAAATTAATGATATTAATGAATCTTAATTGTAATAAAATATTTAATATGATAATTAAGTTTTTAAATTTTTTAATATTGATTTCTTTACAAATTAATTCAAAATTTTTTATTTTTTAAACTATGACTAAGTTTAAACTTCAAAATTTTATCTTTAAAAGATTGAAACCGACTTTAATATCATTTAAATAACAAATTATTGATAGTTGATTCAAACCTTTGTTACCCTCTATTGTTTAATAAAAAAGATATATTATGATCCATTTACTTCTGTAATCAAGTATTTTGGAAGTGATAGTTGATTATACTGTTTAATTGCCATTTTCTCTCTAATCATTACTGTTTATGAACTTATAATTAGATAAATAAGTTTTTGTCTAAATTTTTTTAAATAAAAAGGGTTTCTTCAACAAAATATATTATATTTGATGATAAATAATTGTGTATTTGAGATTAGTATCAATAAAATAAGAGACTAGGATATAAGTTGAACCCAAAATTATTAGTTGTGAGATGGGTGAATTAATAAATTCGTTGATAAAAAGAAAAAAAAATTAAAGAAACTATTTGTAGAGAGAAATATGCATAGGAACTTTTCAATTATACCCATTAGCATTTGTAACAACTTTGTTTTATATATATATATATATAAGAGATTGTAAGATGAAAATAACGGAAGAAGTTATAAATATTAAATATTAAATATTAAATTTATTAAATATCACTTGTTTAAAAATAAAAATAAATTAAATTAAATGTTGGATTTTAATTTTTTAAATTCTTCTCAAAGCTTTTCAATACAACATCATTAATTACGCATTAAATAAATGTGACAAACTCAAAAAAGCACATTTTGGAGCATTTGCTTCATTGAAGACTTCAAGTCAAGCAGCCACAATTTCCAACATTAACTTCCATTTATATTCAAATAAAATATATTACCAACTACGAAGAAGGGCATCAAAAGGAAAAAGGAGAGGATATTCTAGCAAAATACAGGACAAAAGAAAGTCCCAAGCCCAGATTCAAACTCTCAAAATTCTTCTTCCCCGATGTCTTGGTCTATGCATAAAATAAATATGTAAAAATTATGGGTTTTTTTTTTTTTTTTTAAGTTTTCCCTGGAGTTTTGGGTTCATGGTTCTTGTTTGCTTCTGTCCCTGGATAATATGTTCTTGGCATTAGCATCTTTTCCTCATTGACTGCATCTCCTTCCCCAAACAACTCCTCAGCTTCACTTGATTTTATTGCATCCTGCAAAAATAACAAAACACAGCCTTAATCAAATTATTACACGCAACCAACGTAAAGAAGAAGAACTTGTAAAAAAAAATTTTCAGCCTGACAGCTTTGCTGGCTTGTCAGTTTTGACATTCCAGGTTTTCTTTTTGCTCAAAAACATAAAAATTGTTCAAAAACTATGCTTATGTATATAATCTGCCTAGAAAATTAGAAACTTGAGAGAGAGAGAGAGAGAGAGAGAGAGAGAGAGAGAGAGAGAGAAGGGACCTGAGCGAGAAAATCTTGGACAGAAGAAGAAGGGAGTAGTTCCTTATTTGGTTTGAGGCTTCCTATAAAACCAGATAAATCTTGTATAAGTTGATGAACGAAATTATTAGCATCAAAATCCACAATTAAAAGCTAAAATATTAGCCTTACTTGTTGTAGGAACAGCAGCACAGGAAAGCAGAAGACAAGAGAAACCCAGAAAAAGTAGCATCAATCTAACAAAACCTTTGTTCTCCATGCTCATGACCAACAATAATGACAAAAGAGAAAGAAAATTGGTGATGGCAAACAAAAGCATGTGGGCTGGTGCTTTATATAGGGAAGAAAGAAGTGAAAATTCCCCTTTCTTTGTTAAATATTTATTCTTTTAATTAATCAATGAAGAAATTGGAAAAAGAATTTAAAAGGTAAGTAGCAGTACAAGACCGCAGATCACAAAGTCAACTTCTACCATTTATTTTATTTGAAGTGTGGGCGAGTTCCCACTGGCCTAACTCTATTGCTTTCCTTAATTATGTCATTTTCATATCCCAAAAATATAATTTTTAACATCAGATTGCTAGTAAATATTAATATATATAATAAAGTTATGCACATTAATGTAGATAAGTGCTTTTTTCTCTGTAAGAATTGAAGACTTAGCTTAGGACAGATATAAACAGATAGAGTTTCACGGGATTCAATTTGTTGTGTCACACGCTGGCTGGATATTTGACTGCCATTTCTTTTATCGTGACAGAAAGGATATTTAGATTCGAGCTGGATTTGTTGAATAAAAAATATGTAAATTTATCATTGAATCAAATATTTAAATATCAACGAGGATTGACTGAACTAGTATGTACAATTGTATATTTTATTAGTAAGATTTGGGTTTGATTTTCATTATCAATAATATCCTAATAAGCGATATATAAATCAAATGTAAGTTGGTTGAACTTGGTTTTTTTGAATAAAAATATGTAAATTTATTATTGAATCAAATATTTAAATGTCAACCAAGATTGATTTAATTAGTATGAATTGAATAATTCACTTATAAAGTTTATATTCAATTTTTATTATCATTATCATCAATTCCTGTGATCTTGGAATAAAAAAATAATCTCTCATCTTAAATTTATTTGCATATAAAAATATTTAAATTTGACAGATTTTTAAATGGATATTCAAGTTGCTCAATATTGTAAATTACATTAATTTGGATATCTATGGCTTAGATATGTTTTTCCAAAAAATTTATTTAAAGGTAAAATTGCATTTTTACATTTTTATATAAAATTTTTCATATGTTTCTCACAATCCTATAAACTTATTTCCCTTGCTAGGGGTGAAGACAGCCATTTTATTTTATTTTATTTTTTTTCTTTTTTATTCTTTCTTTTTTTGGCATCTTTTTTGTCAGTCATCTGACAGCCACCAATCGCCTCTGACAGTCATTGATAGTCATCCTAGTAGCCACCCTAACCTAGGCAACCAATAGGATTTTGATTTTGATCTGGCTCTATAAATAAAGCCACAAAAATCAAAGTAAAAGGAACGAAAAAAAGGAAGCCTGTAAAAAAAATTTTCAAAATAAAAAAAATTTCTTTTTGCCAAAAAAAAATAAAAAAAACACATAGTCCTCCCCTCCCCGTAGGGAGGAACCATCAACGCCAAGCCCTTGTAACAAAAAACCAAAAAGTCAATTTTAGTGTATAAAAAAAAAAAGAGGAGAGAGAAGGGAGATCGAAACTTTAAGCCTTGATCTATGCCAATCGGGGCTGTTTCCAGTGAAAAGAACATTGGATCCGAAAAGAGGGCATCAATGAGAGCTTTTTTGAGGATTTTGGCATTTTTTGGCCATCAACAACCACTAACGGTGACCCTGATGGAGGCTAGAGTGGCGGTCCGAAAGCCGAACGTGTAGAGCTCTAAGGCTCTGAAATTTTTTTTCTGAAGGGCGTTTGGAATGAATTGAAAAAAAATTGATTTTATATAGAAAGCCAAAGCCCAAAACGACGTCGTCTTAGGAACCTAGGGTTTGCGCGAACTGACCCGTTGACCCATTCCTTCGATAGCTTCTGATTGATCCAGTTGAATCGGATCAGACTGAATCGAATCATTGACTGAACCGTTGAATTGTTGACCGGATCGTAAAACTGCTTGAACAGTTGAACCGACATTGACCGAACTGTTGACCGGTCTGGTTTAGGTAAAAAATTTTTTTAAAATTTTTTAAAAGATTTTTTTATATATTATTTTTATTTTAAATTTTAATTATTAATATTTATGCATATTAAAATATTTAAATTTGCTAGAATAAATTTTTGTTGTTTTATTTTATAATAATAATTAATAAAAATAAATAATGAAATATAGAGTAAAAATTTGTGATAATTTTATTATTTTTGAAATAAAACTTTATAATAACAATACAAAATTAATAAAGATGCAAGAAAGAAAAATTTTATCCAACGATGATATTCAAGGATACTCTGAGTAATGATACTTACGAAATCTCTAAGTGAGAAGATCTTTTTTAAATACTACATGTGTATTGGAGTGTTTATAAAAAGTTTTCGATACATTAAATTTTTTTCTATTAATAAAAAAATAAAATTAACTAATAAACTAAAAAATAAGAAAAAAAAAATTTTTATCTGATGACAGGACTCTAAAGGTATTCCGAGTAGTGATGCTTTACGAAATCGCTAGGTGAGAAGATTTTTTTAAAATATTACTAGTGAATTGAAATATTTATAGAAAATCTTCAATATCATAAAACTTTCTCTTTACTTCAAAGATTTAAATAAAAATAAAAATTAATAAAATTTTTAAAGAGTAAAATAAAATATATGCATCAACATGTTAGCATTTGCATTAAATGCACGACATAATTTTTTATGGAAAATAAATTTGGACCTTCGAAGATGAAATTCTAAGGTATTCCAAGGAGCGATGCCTAATAAATCTCTAGATGAAAATTTTTTTTTCTAATGTTACTAACGTACTGAAACATTTTAAGAATTATTTCAATAAAAATTTCTAATTTATTTTTCTCGAATAATATTTGAATAAAAAAACCAATTCCCAATAAATAGAAAATTCAAGAAAATTATTTTTCAAACATCGAAAATAAGACTTTTTTTTATCAAAATCAACGGATAACACGTAATTAATTGGTACTGTTTTAAACGGATGTTGTGGGGTGCTAATCCTTTCCCACACGTAACCGACTTTCGAACCTATATTGTTGCGCAGACTTTAAAATTATCTTTTTAATAAATTTTAATTAATTTTAATATTTCATTAAGAGGATATTTTAATAGGTGGCCAAGCACATCTAGCCAAAAAAGATTGGTGGCGACTTTATTTTTCGTTCTTTTCATTTCGTTTTCAAATTCGTCGGGCGGACACAAAATCGTTACGACAATTTGACGATTTTGCTGAAGATGCCATTTGTTTTCGAGAGTCAGGCCAAAATTAACTACGTGTTATCATCAAATTTTGATTTAAACAGTCCTAATTAATTTTTTAGATTTTTATTTTTCACTTTCAACAAAAAGTCAAAGAAAAAAATAAATAAAAAAAGAAAAAATTTACACACATTTCTTTTGCTACGTCTCTTATGCTTTATTTTTTGTATATATTACTCTTAATAAATTAGGATATATTTACACACATAATAACATGATGCATCTCATGCATGAGCTTTATACCCGGGCTCCGTCTTTTATAGGAAGAAGTAGAGTACCTATGCTCTCGTGAGGTGATAACCTCTGCAATGGTAAGTGAAATACTTTCACTCAAATTGAACCCTTTCTGTTCGTAGCCTGTAATGAGTGAGGATCAAGGTGCCTTACTAGTCCAATGTGGACGATAGTGAGGAACAATTTGGGAACCTTTAAACACATGTCAATCCAAATCCAGCATGTAATAAGCCTAAAAAATCAGTCTTAGGTAGAGTCTTGTCCACCTTCTTATAGGAAATACTTATGTCTTATACAAAACAAAACAAAACAAAACAAAAAATCTCTAAAACACAAACATAAAAAAATATTTTTTCTCAAACCACATCCTCACACTAACTTGATTTTGTTTGTTTTTTTTTTTTTTGCATAATCATGTCATACAGTTCTGCATCGAGGTATTTGTTCTAGGATATCTTTCTCTCGAGAAGTTCATCATAGATCTCATAGAACTCAAAATTGCTCAAATCTCATGTAACAAAAGTTGTATGGAATTAATGAAAAGTTTTAGTGCTAAAATTTATCCAAGAGTAAATATCTCTCACTTGCATTCATGTATCATGTGCACTATTTTTTTCAAAAAATCAAAAATAAAAAAAAATAAAAATTTCAACACATAGCATTTTGATTTAAAAAAAAAATTTTTTTATTGGTAATAAAGGTTCAAGAATAGCTCGTTCACCCAAAAATTTTGACTCAACCTACTCGCCATTCATATAACACCAAAGCTCAAACAAGAATCATGAAAAAAGAATAAGTTAATTGATTTGAGAGAATTAAGAAATCTCAAGAAAAACTAAAAGAGGATTTTAGTATTATAATGGATATGCTCAAAAAACTTAATAAGGAAAAAACAGTGGAAGGAAATGCTAACCTCCAAGAGCGATCGTCAGATATTGGAGATCTTATTTACCCTTTAGGTTTGAGCTATGACCAACCCTACATTCTCAAGAAACTAGAGTGTAAATTTTTACTTCCGGAGGATATTTCAATCTTTATCCATGAATGACATCCACATCTACTCCAGGATAATTTTAAAATTTTGTCAATCCTGTTATGATGAAAAAATCACCTGAGCCAATCTTGGTTCCTGATTTAGATGATCCTAAGAAGAGAAAAAAAACAAGGATAAAAATACCTGAAAAAGTGAAAGATACCAGTGCCTGAAAGAAGATGAAGTTATTAGAAGAAAGGCTTAAAACCATAGAGAAAATGAATTTTTATGACTCTACGGATGCAGTTGACCTTTGTTTGGTCTCAGATGTGGTCATTTTATCGAAATTTAAAGTCCATAAATTCAAAAAATATGATGGCGCAAAATGCTTAATGACTCATGTCACCATGTATTATCATAAGATGGTGACACATGCTCGGACGAAAAGCTATTGATGCATATATTTTAAGACAGCCTTACGAGATTTGTAGTTAGATGGTATGTTCAACTAGACAGAACTCATATTCATTCTTGACAAGAGCTCACGAGAGCATTTCTTACACAATATCGACACGTCATGGATCTAGCTCCAGATCATCTGTCTCTATAAAACATGGAGAAAAAAATAATAAAAAGCT